CCCTCCATTTGTGAAAGTCCCTCCTTGCTCCTTCCTTCCCCTATGAAATTCTTGGAACCGCTGATATAAAATACGAGCACATCTAAAATCTCCCAACAGAATTGGTGACTGCCCAAAAAGGCCCCGTTAAAAACATTTAGAATACGTTTTAAGTTTGTAATATGTTTTAAGTTTATTTCTATAAACTGTTTTTAAACAGACCTGAAAGCTTAGATTTACACAATTATGTTGTGATAAATGGCAACAGAAAAATAATACTAGCCATATGAATTATTCATTATTCATTACTGTAGGCACATAGTAAAAGATTTTTCTAATGAGGATTCACCTAATCATGCTTTTTATAAGTCGTCAGTCCTGTTTAACTGTCTGAAAATAAACACATAGATTGAATTTTTGCAAACCTGCTCGTGACCCAACGCAAAAGTTTGGTGACTGATTTTTTGGGTCACAACCCATAGTTTGGGAAGCATGGATCTAAACTCTAGTGTGGATTACTCACGTCAATGTGTTCTTTAAATTGAATTAATGTGAAACTATATTTAAAGTCAATTGAAGGATATAACTTTTTGTGTACTCCTAGCTAACTCTGGCCCCGCCCCCTCATAATTTTGGCACTATTATGGTTTCGCATTCAGTCCTAAAATCATTTACTAAATTATTTTACACTTATTCAATACCAATACATTCCTTGATGATTTTACTTTCCTATAATCCACTTATTATAACAATTATGGTTTCTAATTAAGTTAATTAACCATTAATTAGGACGGTTAACGTAGTACATGTCAACGACTTTGCGGTGTTGCAAGAATCAGGGCAAAATTATACCATATTAGCCATAGATGTGCAATGAGTTAAGCGCATCTAGGCCTAAGTGGAAAGAGTATGAATGTAACTCAAAATGTTAATATCTACTTTTCGCTTTTATTTCATCTTCATCAAGAAAAATACATAATACAAAAAGACAACGCCGTGGCTAGAGATACGGTACCATATTTCTACTTCATTTTGCTAAAGGTACAGTAAATGGCATTACGTCACCATCACCTAATAAAGAGCCAGAATATGTGTGACATCATCTTTCAAGACTGACATTACAGATCACCTATGATGAGCGGTAAAATGCGAATGATGCACAGGGTAAATTTAATAGAACATTGAAAAGTACAATACTGTACTTACTACTGCCATCGATAAATAGGCGTATAGTTCCACTCAGTAAGAGTCATGTCATTTATCTATAGCCATTATCAAACAAGGACTGAATCCTGTACCAAACTCTTGGCATACTGTGTGTCACTAGGCCTTGCTTAAATTCTTCGCTTGTCGAGGAAACTAAGCAAAGCCTAGGCATTTGCTTGGATTCTCCGTTTGGCAGCGGCCCTGCTTTAGCGACAAGCCTAGGCCTTTGCTTGGATTCTTCGTTTGGCAGCGGTCCTGCTTTATCGACAGATCGATCTGGGTGGCATATATCAGTCATAAACTAACTCCTGCATTGTCAAGTGCTCAACTTCCAAAATCTCATCCCAAGGTTTAGTCCAAGAAGCCTAGGTTATAATATATTCAAAATTACTACGCTTTACAATCTGAACAACATATTCATACACTTCGAATGCACATGCATAACCGATACCTCCTTGATTTACCTAACTTTACGTAGACTTCGTCCTGTTACTTCCACCAATCGTAAACATCATTCGTTCAGCCAGAATTCAGATCGAGAGAATGAGTTTCCACAATCATGATTATTAGTGTCAAATTTTGCGAATATATTTTGATGCAGGCCCATTTAAACAGAAAAATTCTAGTAATCCTATAAGAATCCTCTTATTTACAGTTTACAGTATATTCAGTTTTTATTGCATGTGTTGTCATGTAAATGGATTAGACCAAAGACTGAGTGGTATGTAAACCCTCTTTGCGAAGGCATAAGCAAGGTGACCTGGGCCTACGTAATGGGGATTCATGCCTTCCTTGATATGGCTATATAGATAAATTACATGACTGTTATTATTAAGTGGAACCCTTACACTGCGCCTATTATCGATGACAGTATTATAAGAAAATACTATACTCTTGCCTAGGTAATCATGTGCTAAACCAAGGACTTATTCGCAAGTCACACCGCTCACCTCCCACCATATTACACTGTGGGTGATCTACAATGCCGGTCTTGAAAAATGACGTCACACACATACTGGTTCTTCATTGGGTGATGGTGATGTAATGACATTTGCTGTACCTTTAGCAAATTGAAGTAGAAATACGGTACCTATCTCTAGGAACGGTGAAAAGACAAACTACAAAACAATACAAGTTTCCAGAAATCCTAATGCAGCGAAATAATTGGTCACAAAAATTACAATTGGGCACAAATTATATGACAGACCCTGGAAACCTGCAGTCGTCAACTGTACTGTGTGTGTCGTAGAGCGGAGCGGAGTTGATTGTGTTGAGCGATCGGGTGTTTACTATCGATATAGTGTCCTAATTATTGGTTAATTAACTCTATAAGAAACTGTAATCATCATGGCTTAATATGAAAGTCAAATCATCAAAGAACATGTTGTGTTGAATAATTGTACGTTTTAAATAATTTGGTAACCGTTTTTTTAGGGCCAGATGTGTATCGGCATTGCCGTTAAGGACATTGAGACCTCGTCGGTCATATTCTGCTACCACCACCGACTCGGAGCCACCTTTAATCATTCCGAGATGACAGGAGTGGACTAGGCCTATAAATTTAGAGTATCATGTAGGCCCCTGTGTGGTGGTGGCGGCAATGGTCTGGCCTGTTAGTAGGTAGCTAGGCTTAGGAATTTTCTCCAGGCCTAGCTAGTTAGTAGTCCATGGTATAACTAATAATAAGCTCCTACCTCCACCAAATTCAAACTGTAGCTCCTTTAAATGTTGGATATATTATATATCGATGTTGTGCCGTACAAAAAGAGGAATTTTACGATAAATCCAACTTCCAGGCCCCATCCATAACACACCACGTTTTTACCCACATGCGACCTTGTTTGTTTACCACTCTTTCAACGTGACGTCAAGGGACTTGATTTACGATGCGCCATTCGCGTCTCTACAAAAATACTAGTAATAATTACTGTAATACTCTGGATTTTGATACATTACAACTATAATACTACTATATATTTTAAAAATAATAATAATAATAATAATAATAATAATAATTCTTTATTTTTGCTCATAATTAACAAATCTAAATGAAATGAAATCCATAAAAATGTATAAGCTTAAAACCTATTAAAACCTAATTAATGTGGCCTTCCATATAATGTAAATTACGCCCCCAAGCGGTGCAATATTAAACGAGACGATAGTTGCAGTGCTACCCTCCCTTCCAGTGACACCAATGGGACCACTGCATGGATTCCAAGATCTTACGATTTTTAATGACATCTTGGGATTTCTTGTTAACTTTTCGTTAAATCTTGGTATTTTCGGAATGATATATGAATTGTTTATTTTTTTCTATCCAGAAGTGAAAAAATAGACTGCTAATGGCCATATAAAGTTAATTGACAGTTGTGATTGAGTGTTGTTTATTTTGTTCAAAATAAAACCCATAAAAAAAAATAATGTATAAAAATCACGCCTTTTTTTTCCTATTAAATTATGAGTTACGCTACTGGAATATTCTTTTATTCTTATTTACCTTTGTTTTCATTTCTAAAAATGGGCGCAAAAACGTGTACGACAAAAAAACATGGTACTACGCCTAAGTCTCTAATTTATAGGACTAGTCGATCTAGTGTCTTGACGAGATGGGCAACGAAATGATTTCACGCGAGCAGAGTCAGTGCAAAACGGGCATCATCAAAAGACTACAGTACGAGAGTTATTCCGATCCGCTAGGACCGTGTTGTTTACGTTAAGATAAATATCATAATTGGCAGCAGATAATTTCATCTCAATCAAGACCTGTATAAATCATCATTAATAAGCTTACAGTAGTAGATTGACAGTAGTGCAGGCTGATAAATTCCCCAATGACTCTCACTAAAATTTCCTAATTTGAATGATCGCCACCAGGGGCTTTCATGTCATTTCCGACCTCCACCCCTCCAACCCATTATATGATTAAAAATAATTTATATTGCCACCAAAAAAGAAAAAAAAGAAAAAAATATATTGAAAATGGGCAGGGCGAGACACCTGTCCAACTACCTTATGGACAGTCCAAAATATTTTTTTAAAATGTCATAATAATTTAATAACAACAACAATAACAATAGAGCGCTAGCTAACTGTGCATAGCTTAATTCTCTGAAAAAAAAGATGGCGCTTCAGTTGTTTTTGAAGGCATACCAGGTACAAAACTATTTTTAATAGACACATACAATTTGAGTTTCAATGTAGGGCCTACATTATGTTTAATTTGAGCACCCGAACTATGTACACAAACATTTCATTACTTAAACAAACAAAAAATGAATAGATATACTGATTAGGCCCTAATGTTTAGTAGCGCGTCAGTGAATTAAGTATTTACGTAAATACTGTCTAATGACTCAAGTTTAAACTGCATGACCGTTTTTATATTTTTAATCAAACTAATTTCTTCTAATTTTAAATAGATTTTCCCCTGAATTTGTGACAATTCGTTATCACGAATAGACCTGTACTAAATGCGTGACAAATTTATGATCACGCATGTGTTTCTGCAAAATTCGTGTTTCATCCAAAATCACTTTGAAATACGGGACCGTCCCGCATGATGCGAGACGGTTGGTAGCTATGTTCACGTTACACACTTGCTTTCACCGTAATTCGAATGTTATCAGACAGGTGCACAACCAACCAGGTATAAGGAAGATTGCGCTAAGGACATGTAGTACCCTACCAGAAACTTACAAATTATAAGTTCAGCGCTCACCCCTTATTAGCGCCCACCCTCGCAGAATTGGTCTAGCCACTGGGCTGAGTGGCGTAACGCCTATGCGCTCTCATACGGTGGTCCGCAGTGCCTCCGAATTCTAGGGGCCCCAAAGGGGCCCTACCCACTATAGGTTCCTCAATCTAGCACCCTGACCAAAAAGGACTTTGTTGATAAAAAACACCATAATGTGTCTCTGAAATCGAGGGCATATCATATTATAACGATTAAAGAGAGGGCCTCCTCTCGGCCAGGGACCCCACCAAATTTGTCCAAAAAAAATAATAATAACAATAAAATAAAAATACACAATTTTAAGTCTGAATGAATTTCCGGCCATCCATAATAATACATTTTCTTTTCTCAACTCCACAAGGGCAACAGCATAATGTGTGTCTGAAATCGACTGTAGGACATATATTATATCCAGTGGCGGAATAAAGAGTGGAGTTGGCGGCCCGGGGCCCCACTAAATTTTTCAAATTATTTTTCAACTGGAGATAAAAAAAATATATTCACAATTTTATGTCTGTGAAGTGTCATTTTCGGCCATGTAAGTGCCATATTCATAAATGTTCTTACCTCAGCCCCAACCATGGTGGGTCTGAGGTGGTATAGACCAGCGTTCCGCAAACTTTTTACTTCAAGGCCTATTTACGATTCCAGGCACAAAGCCGCGGCCCAGCAGCCCAGCCGCGCCAGGGACCAACATACCAAATCCTGGCAAAAACTTTTGATCATGAAGCCTCCATGTATATACAATATTTTTACATCATTATCTGTTCTCAGTGATAAAATTTCATTGTATACAAATTAAATATTATTTTATTAATAAATAATACCGTACATTTGTGCCCCCCCCCCCACC